AGAAGAGACGGCATTGTTGTTGTCAGTGTTTACACCCATAATGTCAGTTATCCACTTGAAACTGAAGAAATTAAGACCCTGGTTGTTGTTGTACACCAGGTTGACAGCCCCTTATCCGAAATTTTGAAAACCGAAGTTTTTAGTGGAGCATCACATACCTTTTTGTTTTATGCAGGGATTAGCCCACCCACATCAGGGCAAAAATTTAATAATAAAAATAGTAATAATTCATAGTAAATAAATTTTATAATAAAAAATACACAAACATAAAATAATAATAATAAAGAAATGCGAGAATGAAAAAAAAGATAAAAAGTGAGAAACACGGCCTACAGTCGACCTATGAATTACTACTACAACTATTATTATTATTATAACTTTTTCGCCCCCTCGGCCCAATGTGGGTCGGTGACCTGTGCGCGGGTGCGCTGATCCCTGAAAAAAAACTAACCTAACCATTCTGAATTCCGAAATCCAAAACACATCTGGCCCCAAGGATTTCGGATAAGGGATCGTCAACCTGGTAGTGAAATTTATGCAAAAAAAAACATATGTTATTTAATGTACAGTAGAAGTAACCACTGATATTAAATAAAAAAAAAAGTGAGAGACTGACAGTGGAACACCAATGTTTACGTGTGCATTGAAGGAAACATAGCACCATTAATCATATAAGAATATGTACAAAAGATTCATTATTGTTAATTACTGAATATTTACAGTATTTGATTGAATTAATGTTTATACAGCCACTCCTCGACTCACGGCGGGGTTAGGGACCCAAATCTAAGTCGTAAGTCAAAAATGTGAAGATAATACATAGAAAATCTAAAATGGGTGTCTCTTTTTTCTCAGCACCACAGAACTCCCACTTTTAAGCATGACAGCCATTTTAAAGGTTTTTACGAACAAAAATTTTGTCGGTACACAATGCAATCACTAACATTGGGACTCAAAAATACGTAATTTGAATATTAAAACACACAAGAGGAGACAACACTGCATTGTTTTTGTGAGTGACGATGTTTCTACTGAAGAAAATAAGACCCTGGTTGTAGCTGTAGTGAACTTAATGTAAAAAAAATGAATACCTGTATATGTTTTAAGTGATGTTATTTAATGTTCACAAATGGAACACTAGAAGTAACTAACCAGTAGTAATGAAAAAAGGGAGACGGATTGGGAATGCTAATGTATGTAATTGTGCATACCCTGTATGTGAAAACATATCGTCATTTCTCTACCTAAGAATATGAAAGCAACACTTATCACTGTTCATATATGTTTTAAATAATACTTTACACTTTCTTTTAGCTTTTGAACTATCACTTTCTCTCTTGCTCTGTTGAAAAGGGACGCAAAAATGTAAGAAGTCTGAGAATATTTTTCAACTTTTCCTGTTCAGATGCGCGAAAACAAAAGGCCCGCCTGCCAGCTGCGACTGTTTATACTGTATTAGTGATACTGGCGTCACCGCTCACTAGCCCGGCAGCCTCCGTACTCAAGTTATTTATTTATTTTTTTTTTTTTTGCATATCTGGATTTTATGAATAAAATTTTTTTATTATATTTTCGTGGAAATACAAATAAAATAATGTGTAAATTGAATTGGGTCCTAAATAACCAGGGTCTTAAATATGAATCGTCTTTAGTAGTACCGTCGTTATCAGAGGCTTTCCTGTACCCGATTGATTGGTGGTGTGCAGCTTAGAGGGAATACGTATTGGATGCTCGGTGTTGAGCACTGTTTTTTATATTTACACATTTCTTTCCAAAAGGTCACAGGGCAGCAAGTAGGCTATGTGTAACCTTGTACAAGTATATATAGTAGGGTGTGTCATAGGAGGGAAGATCAGCTAAAACTAATGGCCCATCACTTTTTTGGTAGATTTTAGTGTATATAAACAGAAAATAATTTCAGTTTCAATATTTTGCAACCTTTCGCTAGGTAAATTTTAGCGTGAAATTTATCGAAAATCTAACGTACAGCTGCATTAGTGCATTACAATTAAATAGTGAACATTGCTTTCTGACTTCATTCCTTAACAACCCAACTAACAATATTTTTTCGTTTCAGATTCTGATGCATTTATAAGTTGATAATATTTCATGGCGGCTGCTTGTGTCAGGACGAGGAACCAAAAATCCAGCCATCTCAGTCACTATCTTTGGTCTGGGAGAGAGCCCTTGAAGCCGGAGTTGCCTACATTGAGAGATTTTGAGATACGGTGTTTAATCAGGCAAATCAGTGAAAAGAACCAAAGAACTTACACAAACAGACATTGCCAGTGATACACCAAAGCTGTCTTGGCACAGTACACCCTGGCTAACGCCAGTTCAAGCCTCCAGTCATAACAAGTCGGAAGAAGATTAGATCACAGCAGTTGGGGAAAAGGCAAAGAGATATTCTCTTTGGGAGTGAAAACTTTGCAGTTAAGGACAGCTTGCCAAGCAACTGGACCAGTTATTTACATAATTATTGCAAGTGCCCAATTGTTCTCTGTCCTGAGTTTGGATGCCATCGCGACTGTAAACCGAGGCCCACATCTCCTGTATTTTGCAAGCGGAACTGAAGATTCCTGTGATCGAACTGGCATTTGTCAAAAGCACAGAGAGAGAAGACTGGCAGTATAGGGGCTCTCATGATTTCTAGCCAAGATATTCCGAGTCCAAGAGACAGGAGGCTACAGAGAGACAGAAGAGGAGAAGAGCTGCCGGTGGAAAAGAGACTTGAGAAGGCCCAGGGTGAGGTAAAAAGGCCGATGATTGGAGTCAAGCTGATTCAGAGTTTAATGACTTCCCCATGGCTGATCCGAAAAGGACCAGGAGAATGGTGACTTTGTCCCTAACCCAGAAAAATAATGATCCCAAACCTTCCAGAAAAGATATGATCTAAATAGAAAAGATATCCCGAAAGCATAGCTCTGGCTGTACATGCACACCACCGGTCTGAGAACTGCAGAGATACAGCAACAGCTGCTTGATTGGACGGTGGTTTGATAACACCTGATGATGTTCACCTGGTGATAGATCATAACAAAGTAAGGAGAGCTCAGGAGAAACTTGTCAGTAACCTAGAAGAGGAGTTTGATAAGGATAAGAGAAAATGGAATCACCTGTTTGTTCTCTTTGATGGGAGAAGGGATGACACTAAAGTGTTCATGAAAGTTGAGGATCTCTGACAAGTTGTTCCCCGCCATGGTGAAGGAGGAACACTACCCTGCCAGTGGAACCAGGAGGGAAGTATTTGTGGCATTTCACTCCAGAGAAAGATGACATCAGAAACCAGCTGAGATAGTGGCAGATAACATTGTGAACTGGCTCCAGAGAGAACGTGAGACCAGACCCTGCAGGCCATTGAGGACAGCACCAACACCAACACAGGGTGGCAAGGGGGGTCACAGTGGATAGAGCAGAAGATTGGGAGGAAGCTGGTCTGGATTGTTTAGACCTCCACACCAACGAAGTTGCCACTCAGACATCTGATCCAGGAGCTGGATGGCAAGACTCTTTCAAACAACAGATGGTCTGGTCCTCTTGGCAAGATGCTGGACTCTGCCAATGAAGTTAGAAATAAACCGGAGCTTTGAAAAATACACAGTTGGCCCTCCCATCGTTGAGCTTGCAATATACTGTCATTGACTCCACTGAGTACTGACCAGTAATTATGGTTACATGATTTGCAGTGCCATCAAAACTGGGGTCATGCCTGATAGACTTGCTTACCTGCAGATAGGTCCAGTCTCACATTCTAGGTGGCTCACAACGGCTCTCAGGTTCTGCAGAATTTGGGTCAGCTTCATCATAAACTGAAAGGGAACCAGCTTCACAACCTGAGACTTATTGTCCAATTCATCGTGAGTGTCTACTTGCCAAATTGGTTCAACACCGTCAAGTCATCGCTCTCCCGGCTGTCCGAGGCATGTTCTCTTCCAGCTTGGAGCCCTGGAGAGGAGTCAGCCATGAAGTTGTTCAGATTGTGGAGCAGACCGTGATGAGATCTTCTTCCTGGTATGCTCATCCCGAGGCAGTTCTGGCAGACAATGCTCTGCAGTAAGGATGAGAGAAGAGTGGCAGTCAAAAGATCTTGATATGAGACTTACAGGACGGGCATGACGAATCAGTTGGGTGACGCATTCCTTCAGGGTCAGGAAGACTCCTGAAGCTTCAATTCAGGTGCTGACCTTCACTTGATTCTCGAATAGATCTGATAACATCCAGGCTGGCAGTGAGCCCCTCTTACCTGCAGCCTCACCCAGTGTTCAAGTCAGAGCTTTCCTGACAACCCCATGCATGTCCCTGCCTGGCCCCCTATCACCCAGAGTATAAGGAGCCGCCAGGTACAGCAAGTGAGCGAGGCCAGCAGTCACGCAGTACAGCCAGGAGAGGAGGGAAGGCTAGCATCCGAGCTCAGGTGGTCAGCAGGAGGATGAGTAGAAACAGAAGCAAGAAAGACATGTTCTCTATGGTGTGCAGCAACACCGGTCGAAGTAGTAAAACCGGTTTTTGTATTTGATAGTTTTGCAACCTAAGGAATATTAAATTTAATAAATGTTAGTAAAGATCATTAGTTTCACTATTCTGGATCATTTTTTCATCCTAATAAATTAACCTGATACATTTACTTTACTTTAAATAAGCTATTTAGTGGTGTTGGTAAAAGGGTGGGAATACTGAATTTTCATAAGATTTCAAGTTAAAATTTACCTAGCAAAAAATGAAAACTTTTCAAATCTGAAGATATCACATGATTCTGCATATAGAACTACATCATTAATACCATGGGCCGATTTTTCAAACTCAAAAAAAAAATCGCCTCCGTATGACACCCTAATATATAGTACAGTGCTGTATTAGTAAGCAGAGGAAGCAATTTGTAGGATTATTCTTAAAAAGAAAATGCATTACTGTATTCACAAACTTTGATGCTCTTAGTTCTTATTAAATAGTACTGAACAGTATACTATTTTACTTATCCAATATTTGTAAAAAAATTACAGGTTAAATTGGCAAAATGGGAAACGTAATTGCCAATCTCTTCAAAGGCCTTTTTGGCAAAAAAGAAATGCGAATCCTGATGGTTGGGTTGGATGCTGCAGGTAAAACAACCATCTTGTATAAGCTCAAGCTTGGAGAAATTGTCACCACTATCCCTACTATTGGTAAGTATGGCTTCATGGGTATATTCTTATTTTAAAGTGAGGTGTTAATGCATTAAAAGATTTTTGCTTCTACTAATCTTGTCAAATTACTGTACTGTGTATCTTTTTAGTTTTGCAATTAATTTTTTCTTTGTAAACCTTACTGTATTTGTATATATGGCATTGGAATTGTATATGATTATTCAATGGCTATTTAAATTGAGTGCATCCTATTTTTATTTAATTTCTACCAAAGGTGTAAGGCCTTGACAGAAATTGCTATAGTTAGATCAAAACTGTTTATTGATTTCCATCTGCATTCCATATACAGTACTGTATATCAAATTTACAAGAAATTATGTGCTGTTATTTTCATGTTATGATGAGCTGCACACAGTCAACATATTATATTTGCTACAATTTTTATATTTTTGCAGGGCCAAAGTAACTGCTTCCTTCATGTGTCCTCTAGACAAATTTTTTTTGAGAGTATGCTCTCCAGTCTTTCAGTGTTTCTTTGTTAAAATGTTAAGAAAGGTGCTACAAGGACTATCCCAATTTAGATATAGGAAAAGACATGATCTTAAAGACTTGCCTGAGGAAACATACTCAAGGTGACAAAAGAATCAGGTAGAAATGTGTGCATGTATACTGTACTTAAGTTCACATGTAACTCAAAAGTATAAATTTTCAGGTTTCAATGTTGAGACAGTAGAATATAAAAACATCAGCTTCACAGTATGGGATGTGGGTGGTCAGGACAAAATCCGACCATTGTGGCGTCATTACTTCCAAAACACACAGGTAAGAGTTGTGCCTTTTCTAAGTCCTCAGCATAAATCTATTTGAAGAAATAACTCACTGGAGGTGACTGCATGCTTAAAGTGTGGTATAGAAGGGCTTATTATTGTAATTATTGTTATGGAGATCATACATTTGGTGTTGCAATAGATTGTTGACCAACACTTTATTCACATAGTTATTTATTGGGAAGGTGTGGGGGATGATACATAAAACCAATGATGAAATACATGCATGTAGTTTATTTTATATATATGCCAGCTTACTTGGTAAACTGAGGAACTCCATCCTCTGGAAATTATACATTGCTTTGAGAACCAAGGATTGGTGGTGCTGTAGTTACCATTCATTTCCCAAGTCCTGGAGAGATGCCATCTCCAAAGGTTCCCCAGACTGGGACACTCAACCAGCAGGTAATTTATAGTCATTGGGACTTGATAGATATCACATGCTGTTTGGGGCTTCTGGGCCATTAAGTGGTCATGGGTCAGCCCAGAGTGACCAATGCGAAGCCTGACCAGGGAAGTCTCCCACCTCTTACGGATATGTCCAGAGACATATCTATTTTAATCTCTTGGCATTTGTTTGGGCCAATACTGGCATCCCATTGATGTTGCCAGGCATTATAATTAACAATTCTAATTCCACTGAAAGTGGGATCCCATACACCTGCAACACAAGTTGCCACTGGTTCATGTAATGAAACTGTAAAGGTTGTGGAAAATCATTTCGGTATTCTAATGTGACTTGGATATATAGGAAATATAATGTACTGTGCAGTATAACTATAAAAAGAAAATATGAAGGGCATGAGAGTTAACTAGTAAGTATTTTATGAGTTGAACATAAGCATGGTTGCATCACGCTCTAGCCAATGTGCCAAAATAGGTCTTAAACATAAGAAAAGGTAGCAGTTAATGTGCTAGAAGTAAATACAATATTGTGTGTGATTTTCTATTACGTTCTCCGTATGAAAGGTAAATATGAAGTGGCAAGCAGACAGCTCCAATGTAATGAAAATAAAACAATATAAATGGCTGTCACAATCAGTATAGGTGACAATGCTCAACTTTGTACAATGAAATGAAGACTTTAACATCGGTAACAAAACAAAATTTATTAGGGTGACACTTGCCAGTAAATTTTTTCGGAGATTGCTGTGTGGTTTACCACCTTTGCCTCGCCTGTACTGTGAATCTACTCCTTTTTCTAGGCTGCAATGGGAGATGAGAGACAGCAGCTTGTGGTTCATTTTATCTTCTCACTATTATCCAGTATTGTTTTAACAGTAAGCCAAGCAACTGACCCACATTGACATGATGCTCACCTGCCTCAGCCCTTCGTATCACTTTCATTTTCATGTTCTTAATAATGACTTTCCTGGGCACCTTGACAGGTTTACCAACACTCATTTGCAGACTGTTTGTCCAGGCATAATGGGCATAAAATGTTCACAAAAACACAGATAGCAAATGTGAAGATACCCACTGTGACACAACAGGCTCGAATCTTGGCAGGCTACTGTATACATTTTGAGACAATCGCTGATTCACTGAGAGGATGTAAGCAACAAAGATGGCAGGGGGTTTTATCTTTCTTTTTTTTATACTAATGTTTGACTTTTTTTCTTAAATGATACTGTACTTAGTATTATACTGTATGTACAGTATTTATTTAATATGTTTTCATGTCTGAAAAAAAAATCTGTTTAGTATTTCTGTGTTTGTACATCATTAAGGTATTTGTATGGTACTGTAGGTTAAATTGATTGGCAAGGCATCCATCTGTCTCACAGGCGTTCATATTCGTAAAGTTTTTCTCTACTGATGAATTTTACCATAGTCAAGACCACTAAGAGGAAAATTAGTGGCAGTACTCCTGGTGATGAGTGAGAAAAAGAAAAAATTGCTTTCTGCAAGAGCTTGAAGAAAAGGTAGAGACATTGAACTCACTGAGGAGTGGTGTATTGATCTCTGAAGTTGGTTACCTTAGTATAAATAGGGGGTTGTTGTACATATACTGTACAGTACAATGTCAATATAACATGAGATAGGTTCCAAGAGAAGTCGCTTTAAACCGAATTTACACTAAATCGAAGTGCTCTTTCAATGGAATAATTTAGTTTGGTACTTAAGAGAAACACAAAATACTAAAAAGACTGAGAGTCTACCCAGATGCTTCTCAGCCCATCTCCTAGAATAAACTAAACATTTTTTTTTTTTTTTTTAGTATTGTTAAAACAAACACTCATAAATCAACACAGCTAAAATTAAGGGATGTGAAATGGGTCTGTTTACTGGTTGGGAAGATTGAGGGGGGGGGATATGTTTGACAGTTGATGCTGAGGTCTAGCTCTAGTGCTTATTTATTTATGTCCTTAAGAGTAACTTTAAGTTTTTCTCTTATAAAATGTCACTGAACTGACATGGGAGAATATAATTAACATTGCTGGAATTCATATGAGATAGTGATTAATTTGAATATAAACATACTGTAGCTCACATTAGAAAGAAATTTTAGTTCTAATTTAAGAATTTTATTCCAAAGAGCACATGTTTTTATCTCTCTTGCAAAATATATGATGTTTATATTCAAATTATTCGCTGTCTTGCAAGGATTCCAGCAATATAAATTATTTTCTCCTAACTTTAGTCTGTGACATTATATAAGATAGAACGAAGCCTAAAACACCAAACCCTGGCTGGGAAGATGGGAGGGAGGGAGGTGACAGTGACATGTATGACAGTTGATGTCGAATGTCAGGTGAAGTATTTATGTTTATTTATGTCCTTTAGCTTGAGTTTATGTTTTTGCTTATAAAATGTCGCAGAAATGACGGGAGAATATAATTTACATTGCTGGAATTCTTATAAGATGGTGATTAATTTGAATATAAACATACTATAGTTTGCACGAGACAAATTTTAGTAATCATTTAGTACATTATTTTGAGTACATGTACAGTACAGCTATGCCCTTAGGGGACAGTGTAGCGTGCCCAGAGAAACATTAGGCACAAAAATTTTTAAATATGATGCGCCAGATTGACTCGCGCAAAATAAGAAAGATTTGCTTTAAATTAAAACATTGTCCTTAATTGTGGGTGTCGCTTTAAATCAATAATCTTATATTAACGTTCTATTGTACAAGAAATGTCATTCACAAAGCTGAAAAATTCTGGGCTTGGAAACAACTTTCCGACAGGCACATTTTCTGGAAATTTATGGTGATTTTTTATTTTTTGCCTGGTTTGAGAGGTGAAAATTGGGCTCGTTTTCCGGAATTTCAGATAATTGTTACAGTACATTACCTGGAAAATTCCAGGGATGGCAGATTTTTTCCAGCTTTGAGATATGAAATGATGCATCTTTGTTGAAAATTACGCGGATGGCGGATTTTTTTTCGGTTTGGGATTGGATATAATGCGTTATATTTGGAAGTCCCGGGAAATTTTTTGCAATACCCGGAAAATTAGGGGGATTTTTTTTTTTTTTTTTTTTTTTTCTCTTTCTCTTCTCTCTCTCTCCCTTTCTTTCTCTTTCTTCCAGGATTTGAGAGTCAACTTGTTACCCGAAATCTCTTTCCCAGAAGTGCTTTGCCCCAACTGTTCTGATTAACGGAGATATCTCTATATATAGTGGGAACCCAAATGCAGTATATGCAAATTCGCACTTGTGCAGGGATTCCTGGAATGTAACCCTCGTCTACTCTGAGACCATATTGTACTGTATATATAAAGCTGGGTTTGTGGATTCACATAATTTGTGTGTAGAATGGCACACTCTTCAGGCCCATATGGTGACCATGCAAAATTGTATATTTTTGAATCCAGTTCATGTACAAAAATAAAGGGTCACAATTACTTAAAATTTATAAGGGAAAGCGTGCAAAAAAACAAGATTTGTAAATGGAGGGACGACTGTAAATATATTTTATGACTAACTTAGAAATTTTAATATTTGTGTTGCATATAAAAGTCAGGGCATTTTGTTTTTAAGACAGTGTGAAACTACCAAAGTGCAAGTTGTTCCTCCTCAGCCTGCACCTAGGAGATCCTTCTGAAGTATGTTTGAATATTTTTCAATTTTGCAGCATCCAGTAGTACATTAGGACTGGTATAAGAGTACGAGTCATCTTGTTTGACAGAGTTGTTATCCATGACAGTATTTTGGGTAATGGCCAATGGTGAATATGCAAAATGTATGGAGGATGTCATCATTTTATAAATTAGTATAATTTGTTTGATACATAAATAATATATTTTGTGAAGATGTCAACCAAGCTGTTGCTAAAATATCCTCCTCTTGTGCTGTGTGGGGAGTGTAATACAATGGCCATAAGTGTTCAAGGGATTACTGGAGTCAAAACGCTTGATTAAGAAGATGACATCAAGATTTTTACGTTTTATATTCTTCCCACAGGGACTCATCTTCGTAGTTGATTCTAATGACCGAGAACGTATTGGTGAAGCGAGAGAGGAACTAATGCGAATGTTAGCTGAAGATGAACTCAGAGATGCTGTGCTACTCATATTTGCTAACAAACAGGTTAGTAAAAATTTTTGCATTATGTAGGTAATATGGTATATCAACCTTTAATTTTTTTAGCTTTTATAATTGCAGTACTTCACATATCACTTAGATTCCTTTAGTTAATCATTGAAAATAGTTAACTTAACACACTTTTTTATCTTAGCTGGTCCATCATAATTAGTGGTAATTAGTCTGTCTATATATAAATTGCTCTTTTCCTTCTGTATGCACTGGTGTTGCAGTGCAGCCATATATTGGTTAGTTGTAAGTAGGAGGAATGTATTGCATTCATATGCTTTTTACTAAGAAAAATATTATTGTGCAAATTAATGGAGGTAATGATTAGCAGTAATCTAACATTAACCATTGATATCCCAGTAGCCTCTTAGTTGATGTAGATGGGTAGAAGCTCATTGCCCATTCGCTTAATGTTTCGTTCAACATGGATTTCCTAGAGCATTTTATTTATTACTACTACCACCACCTGGTATGGCTTTACACGACTAAGATTCACTCAAACATGGGAAAACTCGGCTGAACACGGTCATTTAGAAAACATTTTGCGCAGGCTACCCGAGCCAACTGATGGTCGACTATTCCAGTCCATGGGTAGTGTCCCCATGCCACCCACACACCATGTGGGTCCAGAGTTTATCTATTGCTTGGTCCAGTTACAACCAAAAAATTTGATTGGATTAACTTTTGGTTTTTTGTCTCCATGGTTCCACCGCAACATTCTCTTTGAGTGCCTCTCTGCTAAAGGACACATAGCAAAGAAGAATAGGACCACTTTTACAATGTTAATATGTGTGTGTGTGTGTGTGTGTGTGTGTGTGTGTGTGTGTTTGTGTGTGTTTCAAGACCAATATTAGGGTTGCATATTTTGTAATAAAATTAACAGCTTTATTCTTCCCTCTTGTGCTAGTCCTGTTAATTATTTCCAATCTGGTGAAGCTGGAAGTGGCATATGTTTGATCCCAGCTCTTCTGTGTCCAAAAGTGTCTTATGTCCTTAGCTACTCTATAATTTCCTTTAATAATCTGTACAACACAAAATTTTCTTGTTTGACACCCTCTGCTGGGCTACTTTCATTAATGTTAACTGTTCTAGGTGATCTTAGACAGTCAACTACCCACAATTGGCAGTTGATTGGTGATCTTAAGACCACCCATAGTACCTCCATATCATTAATTATATTCCTTGAAAAGTGTGTATTGGAAGCAGGTGATATGCTTTAGATGCAGGAAGTCGAATTGAATTGTGTTCAAGCCTCAAGTTGTCATTTTTACATGTCTGTATCCCATTTCCCTTTTGGAATTTTGGTCTTGACTGGCAACCAAAGAAATGTCTCCAAATTCATTCTTATTAATACTTTGCTAAATGTTGTGGTCTGACTGCTTTCAAGTGTAGTTGGTGGTGTTTTCTGTATTTCTAGGTGGTTTCAATGTAGTAATTTTCATGCTGATATTTATTATTGCATAAAGTTTGTTTACCTCTAACTGGCCCATTTGAGTTCAAATCCTCAATTTGGTAACAGACTGATCTTTATAGTCTCACATTTTTTTCATTTTTTAGGACCATGACATATTTCATCCAGTGGTAGATCAATACTAAAAAGTTCAAGTAAAAGTATTTTTACTCTGACAAAAATATTTTCAAGTAGAAGTACTCTTTCTCCATTTTACTTCAAATAAAATTAAAAGCTTATGAAGTACAGTAGAACCTCTATACACTGGAATGTGCTTAATTTTTTGACGGAGATAACACTTGAAAAGGTTGTATAAACAAGTGCCGAGTCTTTTGCAGAACAGACATTACCATTCGTGAGAATTGGATCCCCACCGCTGGTAACCTATATGAATTAGTTGTAGAATGTCAGGTAATCCCATCTAGTCACATACTGTAGTACTAGCTGGTGTTCCCTCCAACTGGGGGCTGGGCATTGGTGATGACCTGTGCAAATCAAAGGTGTGTGGAGGACATAGGATGTCATACAACATGTGAAAAGTGATATGCTATGCTTAGTTGCTGATTATCTATCTAATTTACTTAGTGTTATATGTACAATGAAAAGATGTGAATAACCCACATTTATATAAGATCTACTGCCTATAACTTAGACAGAGGCTGTAACATGCGATTCAATGAAAATTACTGGTGTGCTTTATTAAAAAGTGAAGGAGATGGTCATGGAATGTTGAGGTTTTACGTCATTAAGAATGTCAAATTTATAACTTACTTTACAGATCCAACATTATCATTATCATTGAATTTTGTGGATTATCATATTGGGTTAAGCCTTGGAAATTTACTTTTATGATATCCTTATTTTACCGAAATAGCCTTGACTATTCTGAGGTTGAAAACTGACTTGGGGGAATGCTTTTAAATGTATTATATATAAATATTTTTTTCAGGACCTTCCAAATGCAATGAATGCAGCAGAAATCACAGATAAATTGGGTCTGCACTCACTGCGGAACCGTAACTGGTACATACAAGCCACTTGTGCTACAAGTGGGGATGGTCTCTATGAAGGTTTAGATTGGCTCAGTAACCAGCTGAAGAATGCCAACCGCTAATCACACCACCAGCAGCTCACACACATTAAAAGTTGAACTAGTGGGCAGTGATTATATCATTTAGATTGCTGGCTTGGATCATCAGAAGGCTCTTGTTGCCTATTCTGCACAGAAAAGTTAGTGATGACAAATGACTATCATCATTAAGGAAGAAACTGGTTCAGGAAAGGAGAAAGTTATTCAGTGTGTAACAAACACTGTGAATCTGTAACCTAAAGTTGCTGTGGGTGACCTGCAGAATAGTTCAGGTACTGGGTGGAAGGTGCCTGGGCCTGAAAAATGTGCAGTGAACAAGTGATGGGCTGGACAGTGCAGCAATGATGTTACCTCACCTGTGATGTCAGCAATGTGTGAATGACTTTAAAGTGGTGAACGGAGGAGAACGAGCCTTGCTGTCTGTCCAGTCTACAGTATCGACTTTAAAGCCCGATGTCAGGTCATACCGGAGCCCAGCGTTCTCTTGTCTTACTGTAGTACGAGAACTTAATTATTAGGACTTGGGCCCCAGTATGGTACTTGGCGGAGTGTAATGCCTTTATACTGGTGTAAAAGTCTGGTATGTGCTCTTTAAAGAAAGCAACAAAAATTACATTTTTTCTTCTCATTTTCTTCTTTTTTCAATATCGGATTTTATAATAGTATATCTTGTTTCAGTTTAAGGTAGGGACTTTTTATTTATTGGAATGTGTTTGCAGCTCACATCTGTGTTGTTAGAATTGGTGCACTTTGCTTGGTCTCAAAAAAAAAAAAAAAATCAAAGGTCCTTTAACAGATGGGACAGACCACACCTGAAAGTTGACTTTTGTTGTAACATTCCCGTTGGCATAGACTCGATGTGGAGCTACTGTATCAGTTAATCAACTTTGATGTCATACATATTTTGTCATTGTTTCAAACCCTGAATTTCGTATAAATATATTACCAAAATACCAATGTCCTTTCCTTGGAATTGTTAAACTTGAGCAGGCAAATTCCCTCACAAGGAAACTAGAAAAAAAAGGTGGTTTTCTGACTTCATATGCTCTTTGACTAAATGTAATAAAACTTAATTTGTGCTTAATGATTTCTATGCTGTTATCCTAAGGCTGCCCTAGTATATGATGTGGTAGAATATTGGTTGTATATTCTGATAAGAACAAATTATGTATTTTTGGTGCAAGTAAATATGGACAGGGGGAAAATCTAGCCACTATTATTGAATCATTATTATGAATATTGTCCAAATATTTTCTTGATTGGAATAAATATTTTAAGTCTATCAACTAACACAGATTTATTTATTAGTATTAGGCTAAAGTTGCTAAGTAACAGATTTACAGTGCACTGGTCATGAAAAGGAATTACAGCTTATAAAGATTGTGACAAATGTCATTGGTGATCTACTGGTATATGAAAATTAGTAATCAAACAACTTAAATGGGGGCATTGTAGACCACAGGATTAAATATATACAGTACTCAAGAAATGCAAGTGGAATACATAGGAATTATTTTGTGTAAAATAGGAGTAATTTCTAGATACTGTACCCTGAGAAACCACATGTGACCCGATAACAAGATATCCTGCTGCAAGCTTTTGATAGACAGATGATGTATCCTTTCTGCATAGGTATAGACATGCTGATGAAACAAAAGGCATAAACATGTGGTGATCCAAATTGTGTGTACGTATTGGTAATTACTTTTTTCATCTTAGAAAATTTGTGTATTTGAACATAAATTTCCAGTTAAAAAAAATTCTCACGAGTGACAAAATGCCATGAATGGAAAATACATAATAATTGAACATCGGCCCTTCATTGTCACAAAAGCACAAGCATTTCACATGCAGTGATATGCCTGTTGTCTGTTTTTAAGATGATAGTTGACTGGAGAAGTGAAAAGGCATTGAATGAAACATTCTGATAAATATCAGTAACAGCCTGATTTTGTACTGGTAGCCATGAGTGAATATGCCACAGTGGGCCCAAGACTGTAATATATTGCATTTACTTTATCATTTAGAGGAGTAAGTTGTGCTACCTATTCACATTGTATGTTTGTTATTGAACAGTCATCATTTATAATCTGACAGGTAAGGTTGATTTTCCAAGAGTGGGTCGCAAGTGAATTTGAAATATACCGCTTCTGCAGATAGTTGTACAGTATATCAAACTAACGTGAATTGTGCATGATATGCAATCGGTGCACACTAGCAAACATCCTGTACAACGTGCCCTTGGCCATATTGTTGTTCTGCCTCACCTCACTGCAATTCAGTGAAATTATTGTCATAGCAAACCATCAGCCTTCCACCTGCTAACACTTTTCATTGATAGTGTTTGATAGTTTCATCCTCTATACTTGGGATAAACTTCCAGTTCTCAATATATACTTGCCGTCCATGTATCTTTTTTCTTTTTCTCCTGGCTTACTATTGGTGAAAATAGTGCAGGAATGAGAAGACATTTTGAATAGTAATGGTATCAACAGATTTTTCATTTGAATGTAATGTATTTGGAGGAAAAAAGATTAACATATATAAATTTCATAGATACAAAGGCAATGTAACTAGGTCAAAGAAAAATTTAAGGGTTTTTGAGTGAATAGAATAACAGCAGGTCTAAAAGGTCAAGGTAATCCATATTGGATGTGCCTCAAGAAGTTGAGAAAAGTTACCAGAGAATTGTTTAAAGGTAACACAGCACACATTCAAAAGGGGAAATTACTATACAGTAATAGAATAAAGGTGAAGTGAACCTACTAAGGTGTATGGAAGAATTATTCAGATAGTAAGGAAAGTATGGAAAATGAGTTAAGTAGGCTTAGAAAAGGAAGCTGTGTATATCATATTTTGATTGGAAAATACAATGCAGAATTAGATTTTAAATACAAACTTTGAAAAGCTATATAAAATGGATTGGAAAGTATATTCACTGACTGTTCTGATGGCAAAAGTTATATCGGGATAAAAATATTGGCCAATGCTTTGAAATTAATTTATTCGTGTGCTAAAATTCTTTTATGTGTACGAGAGATTAAAGTTGCAATTGCTCAATTCACTGAATTGGGTAAGTGACCTATGACCAATGTGCAAAGGTTTATATATTTGAGCGAGTGACCTTTAACCTATTTGCTATAATTAATTTACTGTATACTTGGGCGGGTGATAAACACGTGTTCAAATTCATGTACCCCGATGAGTGGTCTCTAGCTTAATGTGTTGAAATTCATTTATCTGGGTTAGTGATCTTGGATCCATGTGCTGAAATTTATATACAGTACTGCATCCAGGTGAATGATCTCGGGCTTGTATTCCTATTCATTTATCCAGGCTGGTGATTTCCCGTTATGTACAGAAATTCTGCTCTTCACCCAGATTTCAGTAAAATGTGCCAGTTGTTACCTCCAAAGGCCAAGGATAGATTAGTAAGGAAACTGAAATGGACTTGGTCACTACAGCAGCTAGAAAAGTACAGCACTTCACCCTGCACCCCCAAGACTCATGATTATTTTATTTTTTATTTATTTTTTTTTCACAAAGGAATTTTAATATGTCAGGTCTTGTTCATTCGTTTGTTGTTTACAAGTATATCGGTAACTCAAATTTGCTATAATGTCATCATTCTTCACTCTTTCCATCACCAATTGACATGTGATTCCCATCAAGGGTCCACATATTTTCAATTGCTTTAAGTTGTTTATTTAACTACCAGTTTTTAGTTCTGCACTTGCCAGCTACCCTGCATCATAGTAATAAAAAAATAATAATTTTACTTCTAAATGGATAAAACCTGTGTAATGGAAAGTAATTGGTGATTTTTATGCCCTTAAGGCATATGCCAAGGCGTGTATGTATCTTTACCTTCCAAACATACATCCATTTATTCCACACAAGTTTATTAGAAGGATTATGCTTGTTAGCTTTATATGGGTCCTTGAATAACTTGATTAGATTTTCAAGTTATTCGACTTTTTGTGCTTTTTTATAATTGTTCAAGGTTTTGAATGCCGACATTTTGCAGCATGTGAGGGTATACAGGTATATGTGTTAAAGACAATTCTAGTTTTTGGTATGTGGTATTACAGATAGTATTAAGTATCAGTGGTCTGCAACTTTGTGACCCATAAGGTGGGTTTAGTCATCTCCGTGAACCTATTTTGTTTTGTAGTACAGTTTAGTGTTCTTGGTTTTCTTTTATTATAAAATTTTGTTCCATTAATCAACACACTTAATTCAGACAGTACGGGAATGTACATTTTCCATATCTTATTAATCAAACGAGACAAATCTGGATTTTTTTTTTCCCTCGGTTGAGAAAATGCCTAATCATGAAATGGACATTTCTTGATTATTGAAGAGTTCCTTTCCTGAAAAGCCTTACAAAAATCACTTCACATTTTCCTGTATACTCCCATTATAAAAGCTGGGTTATGTTTGTATGGAAAAAAAAAGCCTCACCCAGAACATAAGATACTGCAAAACCTGTTTTTGATGAAAATTATTTATATATGTAATGATAGTAAGACCATTTTAAACAATTTTATTGAAGTACATGGTGGACACTGAGGTTGCTGAGAAACTGCGCCACTAGTTGTGATTCAGTGCGATACGGCGAAGCCTAACCAAGACATAACTTATATGTCTTGGTGGTGATGGATCAACAGAAAGTCTACTGCACTGGTGATATATATATATATATATATATATATATATATATATATATATATATATATATATATATATATATATATATATATATATATATATATATATATACTATATATATATATATATATATATATATATATATATATATATATATATATATATATATATATATATATATATATATATATATATATATATATATATATATTTGTGTGGTTATAAACATATACATGTACAGGGTAATTCAGCAAAGAATCATTAAATTGGAGAATAAAATCCTTGGATAATTATAAACCACAATGTCTGGTAAGATGTCAGATTTTGCATATGCCCACGTGTTCGTGACAGGTGCGAGCAAATTAAACAAAATCCAGGCATTCTGGAACACGTCAGACAATGGTACGACGTGTACAGGCCTGCATTGAGGCAGAAGGGGGCGGGGCAACTTTGAACATTTCCTTTAGGCTGACATTTTACCATAGTCATTGTGGTTTAGAATTATCCAAGGATTTCATCCTCCAATTTAATGTACACTTTGCCGAATCACCCTGTATATGCTTATAACCACATAAGAAACAAGAAAATGCAAAGTTCCTAAGCGATTTTGTGTTATTCACATCTAAGGGGTGAGTCAGATTAAGGAGTAATTATTGACAAGGCTAATACTGTATATACATTAAAGGAGAGCGATAATACATCATTCATTTATTGTATTAATTGCGTGTAAATATCAGAACTTTTGTAAGATGTATCACAAAAATTAGTAAATATTATACATAAAACTTATGTACTGTACAATCCCCCAAAAAGAATCTTTATCCTTGGGGTCGTTGTGATTTGAGTCTTGAGCAATGTTACCCGACCTGTTTCTGAAAGGTTAGTTCTACATCCATGACCTTTGAGCATGAATGAATATATACGGTTTTGAACGATACATACTGTACATTTATATAGCTTAATGAATTTTTTTTTATATTGAAGTACTGAACCTGCATCATACCATACAAAGACGACTTCATCCCCCAATCTCTAGCTGTTGGTGAGCAGGCGTACCAACTTATGATGATGCACTGAAGAATATATCGGCATTTCAAATTGTAAAGACGGGAAAAATTATGATACAGTATATACCTGTACAATACTTAGTTTGGGGGACTGTACATATAGTATGTGTAATGTGAAACAATAATGAATACTGAAATTAGCAGTTTAATTTCGATGTCATTTGTTGTACAGTGAAAGGTTATCCCTGGTGGTTTGATACAGAAGGAAAAAATTAGTTGTAATGTGTGGTAAGAAATACAAGGAAGCATGGTTGAAAAATATGAAAATAGGTCTGGCAACTGTTAGGTCTGAAGGCAAGCTTTGTACATCACACACACATATATATATATATATATATATATATAT